CTGCCTCCAGGTTCCTGTTTTGAGTTCCTGAACTGACTTCCCTCAGTGATGAACTGTTACTCGGAAATGTGAGCAGAAATGAACACATTCCTCCCCAAGTGGTGCTTGGCCATGTTTTATTACAGCAACAGAAAAGTAACAAAATAAAACAACATATGTTGCTTTGTTGGGAACTATTTTAGAGAAGAAACATTTTTAGTCTATAAATTACTTCGTTTTAATTAATGGGTTATAATCTAGGATAATATTAATGAATAAATATATTGAGATTGGATTGTATGTATATTTGAGAAACGAGAAAAACAATAAAATTATAATTGAGACAATAGTCATGGGAGTGTGTGGGATTGGAGAGCATTGCTAGTGGATCAAAAAACAGGGCAGACAGCTATAATGGCTTGCACCTGCTAGAACCAGCTGCTCTTGAGGCTGAGGCAGGAGGATCCCTCAGTACAATAGTGTGAGATCAGTTTGGACAACATAATAAGACCATGTCTGTTCTTTTTAAAAAAAATAGTGCTTAGGACATTTCTAAGCACCAATATTCAATGTATTATAAATTTATGGATATTAAAAGCAATAAACATAAACATGAACATTTACTGATGTATGGGGCATGGGTACCTGATAAGTCATTGATTCGATCCTTGCCTGCCAAGCTGGCCACTCAGGACTGAGAGGAGAAACCTAGACAACATTCAAAGGCTTTGACATGGAAAACGGAAGAACATCTCTGTGTGTCCATGCTTTATGTTGGTTGCTGATAGAGATTGGCTTTTTCTGATTTGCTTTTTATTGCTGTGATAAAACACTGACCAAAAGCAACTTGGGGAGGAAAGGATTTATCTGGCTTACACTTCTGCATCACAGTGCATTATCTAGGGGAGCCAGGGCAGGAGCTCAAAGAAGAAACTGAAGAAGAGACCATGGAGGAGTGTTGATTACTATCTTGCTTTCCACAGCTTCCTTAGCTTGCTTCCTTATACAGCCCAGGACCACCTGCCCCACAGACATGGCCACAGGCCAATCTGATGGAGTCAGTTTCTAAATGAAGGTTCCTCCTTGCAACAAGACTGTAGTTTGTGTCAAGGTGACAAGAACTAACCAGCATATTGACCACAGAGCCACATGATCAATTGGAATTGGCAGAGGCCCAAAGAACTTGGTTTCGCAAGGTCTTTTGCCTCGCACAGCACTGACCAGCTGAAAGTGATTTTCTTTTCTATGGCATATTTTGACATTTTTGATGGACACATTTGGGGGGCTGGAATTCTGCCCCACTCACTGGCATCTAGTAGGTGGAAGTCATATGTTAGTGCTGAACATCCTTAAACACAGTGCAGACTGTGCCACATAGAATTAATCTTTCCAAAGCACCCACTGGGCCAAGATGAGGGCTTCAGTAGCATCTCTACCACATTACTCCCAGTCACCCACTTCAGATTAGCGTCCCTCTGGTTGAATTGGCCATTTCAGTTATGCACTTTTAATTATAAACTGGATATATTTTCTATATTTACTTAATAGCCATATGTAGGACATTTTAGAGACAAGAGGCGATAAAGAGGGAAACAAGAATTACTTGCTTTTCTCTGTGGAAATTAATACCCTCTAGCTAAAACAATTTTTTTCCCAGCTATGAAAGATATTTAAGAAAAACAACCACTCATTTGTGGAGCTTGTTAGTTGCCCCAGGGTTGAAAGAATAACAAGTCGGGAATGATTTAAAGGATAGAGAAGCCCAAACCCCAAATCACGGAAGACTGAGTGATGGGCAGCAACTGTCATTGTGCTAAGATGGCCGCTGGAGAACGTGCATGCCCCGCAGGATTTACTGAGTAGCTTTCATCCCAGGCTCTTCAACTGATGCAAGGCTTGAGCTGTCATACAGAAAACCCCACCCATGTCACGCTGCACATTGTGGTTATCGTTTGCAGTCTCAGGCTTTCTCTGTGTAGTCTGAAAGTGTTTGCTGAATCCTGTGTGCTCGAGGCCAAGAAACAGTCTGAGACGTTGGGCAAGTTTTTGGTTTTCATCTTGTCAAATTTTGCTTTGACCTTTCTTTGAGGCTCTGTCAAGATCTGGTGAAAAGCCTGCACAGTCATTTTGACAAGCTGGGTGCTGCCCACCACGGGTGCACACTTGATTGACCTCGAGTTGTCGTTTTGGTTGAAGAGGGTAGGAAGCAATGTCATCACAGCACAACTCCTTTGGTTTTCATTTTCAACACAGTCTTCCAAGTTTAGTTGTTGAGAAAAGAACTACCTGATGTGCTAGCAGGTTGTCACATGCCAGATATACTGTACTAAATATCTACACATTTCAGTTTAATCTAACAGTTCTCTCTAAAAGAACCTCTTTTGGGCGGGGTGGTGGTGGTGGTGGTGGTGGTGGTGGTGGTGGTGGTGGTGCACGCCTTTAATCCCAGCACTTGGGAGGCAGGTGGATCTCTGTGAGTTCGAGGCCAGCCTGGGCTACAGAGTGAATTCCTGGACAGGCTCCAAAGCTACACAGAGAAATTCTGTCTCAAAAAACCAAGATACATAGATAGATAGATAAATAGATAGATTTAAAAAAAAGATCCTCTTTCAGACTGCAAAGGCCAGGCATGGCCATTTTATAGAGTTAAGAAAAATATAAAAAGGATCTAAGAAGAGAATGGAAATTGTCTAACTTAGGGTTTCCTTGCTGTGAAGAGACATTGTAACCACAACAGCTTTTATAAAGGAAAACATTTAATTGGGGCTGGCTTACAGTTTCAGAGTCTTAGTCCATTATCATCATGGTGGGACACGGCAACTTACAGGCAGACATGGTGCTGGAGAAGGAGCTGAGAGTTCTACATCTTAACCCACAGGCAGCAAAAGGAAACCATGTGCCACACGAGACACAGTTTGAGCATATGAGACCTCAAAGCCCACCCCCACAGTGACAAATTTCCTCCAACAAGGCCACACCTCCTAATAGTGTCACTCCCTATGGGCCAAAGCATTCAAGCATATGAGTCTACAGGAGCCATTTTTATTCAGACCACCACAGAAATCATCTGTAATAGTCTATGACTTGGTGCCCAGAGATAATTATTATTTGATAGTCTTTCCATAAAGCACAACTTTAAAGGAAAATTTTAATTCCACAAATACATATATACATTATATATATATATATATATATATATATATATATATATATATATATATATTGGACCTTAAACTTATGATCTTCCTTTCCCAGTTTGCCAAGTACCATCATACCTGGCACAAATTTTTATTGGCACTCACTTTTATATTTGTAAGACATATTTCCTAACGTTTATTCAAAGAAGTCACTGAGAGACTGGGGACATGGTTTAACTGGTAAAGCACCTGCCGTTCAAGCATGCTGTGCAAGCAGGGGTTTGGATCCCCAGCATAAAAGCTCTTACATTTTCTTAAAACTCTGTAAAACCCACATGTAAGCACACTAAGACACATGAAGCTTGTCAGTTCTAACTCCAAATGTTCTCTCAAATTCCCCTGCTTTCCTATATATGTGCTGATATGTTCTGCACCAAGGCCACATTTACTTACTGGTTACCGTTCCAATATCTGCCCTGTACCCAGATCAACCACAGCGATATTTCAGTAACATAATTCATAATTATTTGTTTTCCTGCTAAGAGGTCTTTCAAAGGCTTCTTATAGTCTCTGGAATAAAAGTCAAATCCCTCCTTTCCATGGTCCTCAAGCCCCTGCAAGGCCCTCCCTCTACTCTGCTTCTTATAATATTGATCTCCAGGATCATCTTTTTCTATTGGCCACACTGGCCTGGTATCATTCCATTTGCCATTGCTATAATGAAATACACGATATAGACTACTTATAAAGAAACAGAAGTTTGTGTAAATCACAGTTTTGGAAGGTGAATTCCACACAGCATAGTACCAGCTCTGGTAGGCATTCACTTGACTGTACCACCTCATAGCAGATGGTGGGAAGTCAGAAGCCTTGGAGGGGCCAGGCTTATACTTTTTGAAGAACTCGCTCATTCACAAAGGCTAACCAGGCTCCTAAGACAAATACCTCAATGTCTTCCAAGGGTATGCCCTCCAGACCAGTGAAATTTCCACTAGAACCCACTTCTTGAAAGTCCACACCAGGGCCCAATACTGCTACCATAGGGACCAAGCCTCCAACATACGAACGTGGGTGAGGAGTAACCACAGCAAACTCCCTTTATGTACTGGGCACATGCATTCATACTCAGTCAGAGAGCTGTGGAAATAACAGAGCCTATATTATTGTACTAATCTGAACCAGAGAGCCTGCAAACCAGGAGAGCTGGGGATGTAATGTGCATCCTCATCCGCAAAGGTAGAAGACCACTGTCCCAGTTCAGTGGGACAGCAAGGCAGCAAATGGCCCATCTTTGGCCTTTTGGTTGCATGTAGGTCTTCAGTAGACTATATCATGTCCCTTGCTACAATGTGAACTGTCCCCCACAGGCTCACTTGTTTGAATCATTGGTCTTCAGATGGTGACACTGTTTCAACAGTCGGGGAACCTTCAGGGAGTGGGTCCTCACTGGAGGAAGTGGGTCACTGGAGAGGCAGACACTGAGGTTGTAGTTGGGGCCTGGTTCTAGCTGGCATCCTTTGGCCTCATAATTGTCCATCAGGATACAGTCAACTGCTGCACACACTTGTGACTATTTCTTCCCCCTCTTAATGGACTAGATATCCTCAAGTGATGAAATAAAATAAGTCACTTTAATAAGCAACTTCTAAAGTTGCTTCTTATCAGGTGTTTGCTCATAGTAATGAGAATATGACCAAAACACCTGTCATATCAGGGGAGGTAATCAGTGTTTGCTTGGTCTACTGATTCGAACGTTAATCTCATCTAGAAATACACCCTAAAAATATGCCCTGAACAATATTCAACCAAATATCTGGGTTCTGCATCATGCTGTTGAGTTAATACTTGAAATAACCATGTCAGGACCATTTCCTGCCTCTATACTATGCTGTAGTTTCAAAAAAAGAAAAATCAGCTTGTTCTGTTTTTCTAAATTCTCTTTTAGAAATCAGCATCTCAGGCTGACCTCATGAAATTGTGATCTCTCAGATCTCCCCCAGAGTTATCATAATATCTCACACATTGCAGTTTGAGTCACTGTACTCATAATGATATGTAATTACCTTCATTATTTATTGCTGCCTTGTTTTTAACCTTTTTCTCCCATGGAAAATAAACTGTTTTATGTGGATGCCTCACATGTTTTGTACATTATCAGAACCCATCAAAAACATATGCAGTAGTTAGTTCTGTTTATGCATCAATGAAAGAATTGGATACCTGGATAATGTTAGATCATCATCATTGCTGTTTTATTCTTTTGAGACAGTGTCTCTCTGTGTATACCCGATAATTCTGGAACTAACTTTTAAAAGTTCTCCTGAGACAAATTTTTCTTCCATATGAATTCTAAGCAATGTATGTAGCTAAGTCCTGCTTCAGGAAATGACTTCCATCTGCTCTCCTTTGCTGACTAGTTTTAGTGACTGTTTGACAAAGAATAAATGCTGGAAAAGAAGGGAACAACGGAGCACCATAATGGGAAAGCCCACAGGCACCATTTTCACCAAATGACAGTGTGGATATGGAACCATGAAAGGGAAGGAGTCCACAGACATCTTCACCAAATGACAGTGTGGATATCGCACCATGAAAGGGAGGGAGTCCACAGACATCTTCACCAAATGACAGTGTGGATATGGCACCATGAAAGGGAGGGAGTCCACAGACATCTTCACCAAATGACAGTGTGGATATGGCACCATGAAAGGGAGGGAGTCCACAGGCACCATCTTCACCAAATGACAGTGTGGATATGGCACCATGAAAGGCAGGGAGCCCACAGGCAGTATCCTTACCTAGTGGTCATGTGGACACCACCTCATGAAAGACAGCACTCAGGAGAGCATAGCCCAGCATTGATTCTGTGGAACTCTGAACAAAAACTCCCAACTTCAATCAGTTTATAAAGATCACATAAAGTCAAACTGAGAGAAATTACCCAACATTCATTCCAAGGTAAATATTGAAAGTAAATGCATTCTGGGTTAGATTCTGGAGGTCACAAAGGGCATTAACGGAAGAAGCCAATGAAATCTCAGGTTTATAGTAAAAAAAAAAATCAATGTTGCATTTATGTTGGTTACTTAGTTTTAAGCTATATATCACAGTGATACAAGATGTTAACAAAATAAAAAGGGGTAATCAGGTTTTACGATAATTCTATTATTTTGTAGCTCTTCTCTAAGCATAAGCTAAAATAAAAGTCGACTTTTGCCAGGTAGTACATACTTGAATCCCCAGCAGTTAGGAGGCCACAGCAGGGAGATCAGAGGTTTGGGGCCAGCCAGGGCTACACAGTGAGTTCCAAGTCAAACTGAGCTACAAAGCAAGGCAGTACAACTCAAAGCAGTACCCCAACTGCCACCAAAAAGGAGGAGGACGGTAATCACAAAAATCAGAACCTAAATAAACCACACTCTTTAACCTTTACAAAAAAAAAATAATCCTCAGAGGATCACACATACACACATACGCTGCTAGTAGTATTCAAAAGTGCATGAAAAGTTTTTGCCTTTTTATGTTAGTCAAATTATACATAAAGTGATAACCACCATTTAAAAACAGTTAAGCTTCCTAGTCTCAACTGTTCATTCTCTTTCTCTCTCTCTCTCTCTCTCTCTCTCTCTCTCTCTCTCTCTCTCTCTCTGTATAAAACATATGTATATGAGTGTGTGAGTGTGCAGGTGTGCTCACCCATGCATGCTTATGTCAAGGCCCAACGTTGACACTGGTGTCTTCCTCTACTGCTCTAGGCCTTATTTTCTGAAGGTCTCTCACTGAGTCTAAAGCTTGTTGAGCCAGCTGTCCTGATTGGTCAGGGAGGCTCAGGGATTCTCTTGTGTCTGCCTCCTTGATGCTGGTATTACGGTTGAGCAGTTTCACACCTGGCTTTTCTGTGGTTGCTGGGGAATCTGAATTCAGGTCCTCATGCTTGCTCAGTAAGCATTTTACCAGCAGAGCCTGTTCGTTCTTATTTCCATCATCATGCTTTAAAATCCATAAAAGCTATTACATTCCAGTTTATGAACATTTAATGTTTATGGCTGAAGGATTTAAAACATACTGACACTAAGCGAGTGTTACTGTTGAAATCATTTAAAAAGTTTCAACATGAAATCATTCTCAATTGTTTACAAGCGTTAGCTTGTTTTTCTTCTGTACAAAAGCCAGAAAGGCTCTTGGGAAATGAATGGTAATCAGGACTTGAATGTAGAAATGCTATGTCTCCTATCCCTCTGAGGTGTTAGATATCAAGTACTACCAAGAAATTCTGCAAGTATGTGAAATGGTTCTTTTTGGAAGGTACTACCTATTGAAGAATAGGGGTAGCTTGCTATCTGAAGTATTGCTGAGGCAGTTTAACCCCACCTAGTAATACTTTCTGCTACAATCACTTACGTAATGTCAAAATAATAGATAAGCTACTTCAGAAAATATCCTGGACTTTTGTTTACACAGAAATATTTGAGAAACTAATAAGGAAGACAAAAAATATATTGAGTTGATTTAATTTCTTTACCTTCACGGAACCACAGATCAAAGTCACAACAGGCAGAAGAAGAGAGATTTATCCTAGATTAGAGAAGATTTTTAAAAATGTGATGACTTCATTGAAATCTGGACCCTGGATCAGATCTTAGGACGGAAAGATGAAGTTCAGGAAAAGCCAATGAGTGAGAACAAGGCCTGCTATCTACTTCACAATTCTACCTCAGTGTTCTCTCCTGGGTTTTGGTAGTTATGTTATGGTTAAACTTGTAAACACTAGGGAAAACCCAACAAAGAATAGAAAACAACATTATGAACTACTTGGCCATTTTTGCAACTTCTATGAGTCTAAAGTGGTTTCAAAATAAAAGGACTGTAGAATGTGTCCTGGAAAATTCCTCAGGAAGCTGCTACTTGCAACCGAGGCTCAGTGTTTCCCAATAGCTCTCAGACAGCCAGTGCTCCCCCACCCAGCTTTGAAAACAAATACTGCCTCTTCAACTGAGCAGTCGAAAAAGTACAATGGTTGACCGATGCCACAGGAATATTTGTACAAATACATAAATTTCAAGTCTAAACGTGGTACACGCCTGTAATCCTAGTATTTGGAAGAGGCAGGGTCATCAGGATATCGGGACCATCCTTGGTAACAAAACAAGCTCTTTAAGGCTAGCCTTGCAGGACATGATATTGTATCTCAAAAAGAAAAATATACATTTCAAAATACTGTAATTATACTCATTTCATAGAGATGTTTTTGCTTAAAGAGCCATTGAAACACATTTCTCCTTAATATTTATGCCAGAGCATCTGCTTATTGAATGAAAACTGAAAAAAAAAACCTGAAAATTTGAAAAAAAATTCCCTCTATCTTTTTTCTTCCTTGTCAAATGCATATAATTGAATATTGATTTTAAATTATTTATTCTTCTCTCATATACTGCATCCCAAGTGAGGTTCCCTCTCCCTCCTTCTCTCCCTGAATCCCCCACCTCATCCCTTCTCTCTCACATCTACTCCTCCTTTCCCTTCAGAAAAGGGCAGGCCTCCCAGGGATACCAATCAAACATGGCATGTCAAGTTATAATAAAACTAGGCACATCCCTTCATATTAAGGCTGGATGAAGCCACCTAGTAGGAGGAAAAAGGTCCCCAAAACAGGCAAGAGTCAGAGACAGGCCCCACTCTTACTGTTAGGAGTCCCACAAGAACACCGAGCTGCACAACCATAACATGCAGAGGACATAGGTCAGGTCAGACCCACACAGGCTCCCTTATTGTCTGTGGAGTCTCTGTGAATTCCTATGAGCCCAGGTTAGTTGATTCTGTGGGCCTATTTCCTGTGGTGTCTTGATCCCCTACTCCCAGCTCCTACAATCCTTTCTCCAGAATTGTATTCTCCAGGATTCTGTCTTCTCCAGGATTCTCTGGGTTCAGCGTAATGTGTGGCTGTGGGTCTCTCCATCTACTACCATCAGTTGCTGAATGAAGACTCTCTGATGATGATTATGCTAGGCTCCAGTTTACAAGCATAGCAAGATATTGCTGGGAATCATTTAATTGAATGTTAATTCTTTAAATTCTGATGTCATGAGGCTGGAGAGATGGCTCAGCAGTTAAGAGCACTGGCTGCTGTTCCAGAGGACCTACAGTTCAATTCCTGGCACCCACATGACAGTTCAAAACTGTCTGTAACTCCAGTTCCAGGAGTTCCCACACCCTCATACAGACACATATGCAGGCAAAACACCAATGCACATACAACTAAATAAATAAATAAATAAAAAACAAATGAATAAATAATAAAAGGAGGAGCCAGGTGTAGTGGAGCATACCTTTCATCTCAGCACTCTAGAGACAGAAGCAGGCAGATCTCTAAGTTCCATGGTCAAGGCCAGCATTCCAGGTCAGCCAAGATGACATAGTGATACCCTGTCTCAAAAAAACAAAAAACAAAACAAACAAACAAAAAACTGATGTCATGTGATCACTGTTACCCAATAGAGATACAAACACACAGGGATTTTGCTAAATACCACATGCTTTCCCGTTAATTTCCTTTGAATCTAACACTGAAAACATCTGTGGAAAAAGAACCACAATGCCTGAGGTTCTTCTCTGACCTCTGCCTGAATGCTGTGGTTCATGCCTGCACTCAAGATTTATTTTATTTTTTTAAATGATGTGTGTGTATGTGTGCGTGTGCGTGTGCGCGTGCGTGCGTGCGTGCGTGTGTGTGTGTGTGTGTGTGTGTGTGTGTGTGTGTGTGTGTACAAATGCAAGTGTCCATGGAGGTCAGAGGCTTCAGATAGCCTTGGAATGGAGTGACAGGCAGGTATAAGTCACCAGAGGTACTCAGTGCCTTTGGGAGAACAATACACACTCCTAGCCACTGTGTTGTCTCTTCTACCTAGACTGGCCTCTCAGTGTCTTTGTCCTTACATTCTTTGTAGAGGTTGATCTGGCTATAACAAGTTCTACCCTTTGTGAATTTCGTCATAGTGAGATCTCAGCATACAAAGTCTTTTTAAAACACTCAACAACTTAATTTTATATGAAATGTGATATTTTACTGGCAAAGTCATATACAAATATATTTTATTCAAAATATATAAATGCAGAAAATCTGAGGTCCTTTAAATATGAATTGAATTGTTAGGTTCTATTAATAAATAGCAGAATATACTCAGCTAATTAATTAGCAATTTTACCAGTATATTAGATATACCGATGTTCCAGAGACATGTTTAACAATGTATACTATTTCAGAACATGAAGTGTGCTTTTTCAAAGCCAGAAAAGAACTGATGCTCTAAAAGAAGTAACTACTAGTGCTTTCTGGGAAATATCTGCTCTCATGGGCCTTTATTTACCTGCAGAACTATGGGGAGAATTCTATGGGTATATTCTGGTTGGAAGAAAAGATAGATAATTATCTTTGCGGCAATCTCATGAAGCATTCCTACTAAAAAGTTTATGGACTTCAAATATGGGAAATATTTTGTTATTTGAGCTCTCATTTTTCCATATGGATGCCATATAATTGGACTCGTGGATAAAGACCTTTTATCTGGTAAAAAAGTGTGTGTGTGTGTGTGTGTGTGTGTGTGTGTGTGTGTGTGTGTGTATCGCTATTGCTGCTTTCACATTACAATTAAATGTGCCATAATTAGACACTGCACTTCAGCACCCTGTCATAAGATGCAGGTTTAAACCTATCCCTGGCATCAGGAAACCAGCACATTTCATTCCATGCCCCCTTCCCCCTACCCCCCAGCAACTCCACTTAGAGCAGCCGAACTGCACCGGGGGAGGACGCTAAGATCCTCTTCGCCTGAGAGGACAAACCTCTTTGATAAAAACCACAAATACATCATTACCTACTTGAGTTTGCAAAACTGCAGTGTGGCCTAAGTGGTTACATTTTTAAAATGCTCAATCAATTACCAGTGAAAATCCCCTTTTCTAGGCACCTCATAGAGAAATACTTCCTTAGCTAAGAAGGGGAGACGGAGGAAGGTGAACTTTTTCTAATTTCCTTGCCTGTTAATTTATTTAGTAACAATTATTGCAGTGCTGAGAATCAACACCAGTGTGCTGCATGTATTCTGCCTCTGAGCTTCATACCCAGGCTGAGAATCTGAAACTCAGATGCCACATAAGCAGACTTGACTCACCATTTATTTCGTGTGTGTGTGTGTGTGTGTGTGTGTGTGTGTGTGTGTGTGTGTGTGTAAGTGTATGTGTGTTTGTGTGTGTGAGTGCAGGCACAAGTATACTACAGTGTGCATGCGAGGTCAGAAAACAACTTCCTGTGTCAGTGTTTGACACAGGTTTCTTGTTAACCGCTGCTATGCTAGGCCAGCGGGCCTAGGAGCCTCTGAGGGTTCTCCAGGCTCCGCCTTCCATCTTGCTTTGCAAGCTTTGGGATTTCAGACATGTTTCTGTGTTCCGCTTGTGGTGGGTTCCGTGGATTCAAAGTCAGATCCTCATAGTTCCATGGCAAGTGCATTACCTGCTGGGCCATCTCCCTGCCCTTGATCTCAAAGTTCAAAAATCAAATTAAAATAAAGTATCTTCTGCGAGGTGTTATTTAGGAATTGGAAGGAATGTGAACTTGGCTGTCAGAAAATCTTCACATTTCTCCACTGAACAATTATTTAGCCTCATTGTTTTTCTGTTTTGAAAGGTAATGATAACTAATTTCCAAATTCATTATGACAATTACGTATGAAGCCTCTTGGCTCTTGCTTCACAACATGTGACAGGGACATCCACAGACTGCACACTCTGAAAACTTGCTAAAAATGCAGAATCTGAGACCTGTTCCCAGACCTTATGAATTGGACTTTGTTCAGACCATCCCCCGATGAACCGTACGGAAGTGGCAGAGGCACTGACCTCGTCCTGCCGTACGTGTTCAGGAAATGCCAGCTTCTCTCCTTCTCATCCTGATTATTTTAAGTCAGCTGGCCTCAGTGTCTGCCATTGCCAGTTGTGGACTTAATTCCAGGGGGTACACTGTGAGCGGTCACACTGGGCACGGCATTCACAAGAAACAAATGCGTGAGTTGGTAACTGCAAAAGGTAAGGTGGAAGACGTCACTCAGATTTGTCTCTGTATACTGCTGCAGGCCTGAAGCACACCACAAGTAGTTTTCAGTTTTTCCGGCTGATTTTGGACCTTCTCTGAGAAGGTTTTCATTATCACTTAGGAGTTGTCGTGAAGAGGGCAGGCCTACAGCTGATAGTTAAACCGGCCACTGCTTGAATGAAAATGTAAGGGAGGCTTCTAAAAATGGCTCTGAGTTTTCTCCTTCTTTTAATCTCCAGAGTTTATCCATGAGCCCTGAGGTGTCAGAAGAGAACTGGGTAGAACCTGTCTTACCACATCAAAGAGATGTTCAGTACTTGCTCACATTAACATGCACGGTACAAGCTGGCACATGACGGGGACTACATTTTAAACTCTGGGGGCGTACTTAGTGAACAATGGGAAAGGTTTGCTACTACAATTGAAGTTTTGGCTACAATTCCTTTAAAATGGCAAATAAATGTAGTTTTACATTTTAAAAAAGTAAATTAGCCAATCCTTGGATTTATTGCTATATTGGCTTAAGAAGGAAAGTGTTCTACCATGCCCATGTTTCTTCATGCTCCCAGCAGGTGTACCGAGACCCAGCATTTGTAAGTCTTCTAACACAGATACATTCCTTACAGGAATATTCTTTAGGGGCTGAGGTAGTAGCTCAACTGGTAACACTCTTGCAATGTGAGTACAGAAATCTGAATGGGATCCCCAGACCCGAATTTTAAAAAGCTGTGGCAGGTGGCACCTGCTTGTAATTTCAGCTCTGGAGACGCAGAAACAGGCAGATCAAAGATTTAGACATAAAACCTGAAACATAGAAAAAGAAGAAAACATAGGCAGTACTTCACAGGATACAGGTGTAGGAAACAACTTCCATAATAGGAGTACCAGCCAACTATCCTCTAGTTTCCACATGCATACATACATGCATGCATGCACGCGCGCGCACACGCGCGCACACACACACACACACACACACACACACACACACACACACACCCCTGCATGATACACACATGCACACTCACACAGGTGCACCTGCATACACATGAACATACACACAAATGCACAAAACAGTAAAAAAAATGTTTTTAAAGAATATTATTTTTCCCTTTAATACTATTTAAAGAGGGATAAGCATTCATCCTCTCTTCTGCTTACACTGTACTCTGGAAGCTGGGTGTGGTGACACATGCCTATAATACCAGGATTAGAAGGCAGAGGCAGGAGGAATGGTCTCCTTAAAAAACAAAACAAAACAAAACCCAAGGACTGCAATGTAGTTCAGTGGTGGATGCAAAGGGCCCTGGATTCAAATCCAGTACCAAAAAAGACAACTTAAGACAATCAAACAAATTGGGAAAAACAAACAAACACCCTGCTATTATGTAGCTAAATGTATCCACAACCACACTTCTTCCATTTTTTACAGGTCTTGCAGAAAGTGGGAAGGTCCTGCCCCCTCTCTCTCTGACTGAACCCAGGACCTCATGGTGGGCAATGGTTCTACCATCTACCCGCGAGCCATAGCTCAAGCTATTTTCCTCATCCTAACATGTTTACTTTGTACTGCATCTGTCTACTTTGGGCGACCTCATCCTAACGTTATTTATTTTGTTCTCCATCTGTCTACTTAGGGCGAGCGCCCTCCATGTCAAGTCTGTGGAGGTCTGAGGTCAGCTCTCAGAAGTCAGGTCTCTCCTTTTACCCTGTGGGTCTCTGAGGTAGCTCTCAGGCTGTTGACTTACTGGCAAGCTCCTTTACTCATTGAGATGTCTTCCTGGATCCTCATTTTTAGTTTTGAGATGGAGTCTTGATAAATTTCCCAGGCTGGTTTTGAGCTTCAATCCCCTTCCCTAACCTCTTAATTAGATTAGTCTGGAGTTCCGGCCCATGTCACCTGACTCTACTTCTCCAGTACAGTAATATAGATTTACTAGTAGAGATAAGACTTGCTTGGGATTGAGAAAATAAGCTCCCCTCCCTCCCCTCTCCTTACCTGCTCCCTCCCTTCCCTTTCTTCTGTGCTGAGGATCAAACCCAGTGCCTCAGCAAGTACTTTACCACTGAACTGTATGCCCAAGAAGTTTTTTTTTTTTTTTTACTAAAATCAGTGGGTTGTTTTTGTTTTAAAATTAAGACATTTGGAAATGGGTCTTGTACAAAGCCCTAGATTCTATTTCCAGCCCTAGATTCTATTCCCAGAACTACTGAGAAAGGGAGAAGGCCTTTTGATTTAACTTCTCTATGGTTTGAGTTGTATCCCCACCCCAAATTTCAATGTTGAAAGTTGAGCCTTCAGTAATTCAGGACGTGTATAGAATGTGCGATGAAATCTTCCTGGCTCTGTTAAGGACTGGTGGTACCGTCTACCTAGTCAATGGCTGTGCTCCTATCTCAATATTTTCAAAAAAATTTTATATTCAATTTTCAAATAATTCAGTCCTCTGGACAAGTTGTAAGACTCGCAGAAGAAGCTATCAAATATCCTTCACACACACACACACACACACACACACACACACACACACACACACACACATACACTCACTCCACAATTCTTCTCTGGACTATTTAGGAGTTGAGTTCATATGCTATATCTTTTACCTGTCAGTATTTCCTATATCATGTCACTGTTTTGGGCATGCAGTTCTTCTATTGTACTCTAAATATCAAGAGGCTATCCTCTCCTGGTCTTATTTTTTATATAATTCACAGTAATGAGCTTTCTGTATGCTAGTGTTTTTAGTCTATGTATTTTTCCTTTTAATCCGTTCTCCAAGGTCCCTCTTTTCCTCATAATGTTATTCTTCCAAGCTCCCTGCACCCTATCTCCGCATTTCTGGTAAAAGAACCCATGCTGGTTTGAATGAGGAGGGCCCCCATGGGCTCATATGTTTCAATGTTTGGTCCCCAGCTGGTGGAACTATGTGGGAAGGATTAGGAGGTGTGGTCTTGTTGCAAGAGGTGTGTCACTGGGGATGATCCTTGAGATTCAAAAGCCCATGCCATTCCCAGTTAAAAGCCCAGTTAGCATCCACCCCCAGCCTTGTGGTTGCTCTCTCAACATGTAAGCTCTCAGCTACCACTCTAGTGCCATGCCTGCCTGCCTGCCTGCCTACATGGTCCCTGTCATAATGGTCATGGACTCACCCTCTGAAACTGGAAACCCAATAAACATAAACCCTTTCTTCCATAAGTTGCCTTGGCCACGGTGTCTTATCACAGCAATAAAACAAACAAACAAACAAACAAATAATGGAGACAGGGCCCATAACTGAATGACAGCTTCTTTTGCACAGTGTATCTTTAAATCTACCTATAAGGGCTTGGCTGTTTTTTTTTTTTTTTTTTCAATCTTGCAGAGTTACTCTCTTACCCATATTACAATGGAGTGTGTAGGCCATTTCTTTACTCTGTTTCGGCTTTGAATCACTAAAGGAAATATTTGTCACAGTTGTGATCCCTGCATAGAACTAGCTGTTCCAAACCATGGTGCTTCCTCTTCTTTGTTTCTCTGTGGGGGACATAGAACTTAGCAGAAGACCTGAGGTTACATTCCACTTCTGCTATAATCTTTGCCAATCACCTAATCTCCCCTTAGTGACCACAGCTAAAATGATACACTCCAGTTATCTCTCAGTCTGCTGAAGCCCTACCTTGTCTCCATCGGCAATTGTTGTGTGGCTAAAAATGATGTTTGTGAAAGGGCTTTGTAAGAAATGTCAAAGTATTTTGAAACAGTAGATGCCTAGGCATCATTGGTGAGGAAGGGATCACGGGGATTATCCAGTCCTACTGGGTAATTTTACTGACAGGGTAACTAAAAACCAGGAAAATTAAGTAACTTGTTCATGGTCACTGAACTGTTTGGCAGGACAAGGTTTCCTGGTTCTTAGAGCGGGGCTTTCTTAAACTCAGCAAACTGTCTTCCTAGACAGAGTGTGTAGCTCAGGTTACTCAAGCTTTCCTTCCCATATCATGGTTCGATGTTGTGAAAACACAACCACAAAAGCCAACTGTGCAGACTTTGAGTAAACAGGCAGCTTTAGAAAGAGGGGACAATTTAAAGAAAACGCACACGAGTCCTAAGATAGCTGAGCACCATATTTGATGTTATTTGAATGGTACCAAGAAATCCCACTTGTCTAGTGAGACACTAACTCTTCAAATGCCCTCCCCCTTCAGCATCTAAGAGTCTAAAGATAAGCCCCTATTTTAAGGTCAATGAATGGCCAACAAACTGCCAATAATTGTATCATCTTTCAACTGGTTTAACTACATGATTTTAAAAGTGCAACAAGTTATTAATGGAATTCTCCAACCTCCAATCCAATTGAATTCTGATCTGAATAAGATTTGCAATTACCAAAGGTGATGCTTTCAAATGAAATAGCACAAATTAACCTGCATGTGGTATTAGGTATCAGAAGAATGTCCTCTTGCACATAGGGTTAAAAACCCACTCATTCAAACACATCTCAGTAACAGGCTGTAAGAATGCCAAAGGGGCTGGGCGGTGGTGGCGCATGTCTTTAGTCCCAGCACATGGAAGGTAGAGACAGGTGGATCTCTGTGAGTTCCAGCCCAGCGTGGTCTACAGAATGAGTTCTAGGACAGGCTCCACAAGCTGCAGAGAAACCCTGTTTCAAAAAGCCAAAAAGAAAGAAAAAGAATGTTAAAAGGTTGGCAAGCCTCCAAACTGACAAACGCAAAGAGGGCTTTGAACTGTTCCGCTCTTCAGATCCCCACTGCGCACCTGCTGAATTAAAAGCTATTGTTCAAGTGAACTGTCTGAGGATGAATTAACTGAGTTTTCAGAAAAGGCTGTGATCAAAAAAGATAGGAGCAATCGTCTTAGAACACGAGAACTGGAGGGGCCTCCCGAATTCCTGCTCTAAAACCTTCATAGCCCCGTACCCCAGAGTTATTCTGGTGTCCTTAATGAATGTGGGGAGGGAGGGAGGGTTCCTGATGATTTCACATA